CACCTTCACCGGCCAATCAAGATTGGCGGATTGAGATAAATGCTTCTATCAGGGCTGCAGGAGGCTGCATCCCATAGCGAGACACCGAGTGAATATTATGAAGAAGAACAGCTAACCTGAACTCTGAATTTCCAGGTGGTTCCAACAGGAATACCAGGTATGGGTCCGTAGTGGTTGGAAGGAACTATTGTGCACTCCTTGGTACGCCCCACACAGGCCATACCCTGCAATTACACCAAGAAAGACAAAGAATCTCAGAAATACCACCAAATGTCAGCGAGTGCAAATGCCTTTAGATCACATTATGATGAATCTCAAAGGACAATGATTCAGAATTCAGCATTCCATTCATAAGCTACACAGGATTTCAAAAGTAAGAAGACAAAAAAGTATTTTATTTTAAGGGTTATAAAATTGCGATAATGTGAAAGGCAAGTATAAATGCTGTGTGACTCACAGCACTTAAATGTGCCCAAACACACAAGCTAGGCTGTTTTCAATTAGTCCACAGAGAAAGGGAGCATTCTGGTAAAGAAATGAGTTATTTTCCGTTGGCAGTTCCAGGAAAGTGGCTAAGTCATGCTTAATGGCATTGTTCACATTACACCATGGAGCAGAGCGTCAGGGAGACCGCCAGGCCGGGATGGAAACGAGCCACACAATATCTCAAAGTGTTGCCATGAGAAGACTCTGAGGAGATTTTGAGGAAAATATTTAACAGTATGTTTAAAACAGATGCTTTTTAAAAACTATTTTCAATACATGTCAGCTGTCTTCCCTTTATCTAATTTTCTGCCTCAGCAGTTAGCAGTGAGGTAATTTGCGAAGTAAAAATTCTAAATGTAATTTTGCCCTTGTGTGAAAATGGAGGTGTACACAGTGTTCATTAGTCATGTTATTATTATACAAGAAGAGCTTGATAATCAATAACACGTTAATATTTATACAAACGTAAGGATTTGCAAAAAAATGCTATGACTCAAACCAACATTGTTAATCCACCTCGGGACCCTGATCTAAGTTAAGTAGATGTTAAGTATTGTTGACTGGATCTAAAACTTCTGATCTGATCATTTGATTCACGGGAAAAAAGCTAAGATGTGCTCAGGCAATATTTGACAGAGCTTCAAAGAGGTGCACACAGAACGCTTCACATGAAACACACCATTTACCTCTGATAACGGCACAGACACAAACACTTGCTGTTGTATACTCTATTTCCATTAGGACTGTTATGTTTTGATGAAATTGTAACTTTGCTGGTGAGATTTATTTTACAGTTCTAAAAGGATTGTAAATATAAACAAACACGCATACATGCATATATTTATATATGTACGTATGTGTATACGTCTGTAACCTATGGTCTGTAATATACGTATATTACAGACCTTGAGGTGCCCCTGGGTCTCACCTTTCCCCAGTCCCTTTGACTCTCAGTTGTTGCCGAAGGCATCTTGGCTTTCTTCTTGCTGGCTTTGAGCTTCTCTCCCGCCTTAACAACCTCACTGGTGTCGTTCTTACAGGTGGGACAGTACCTGGCAGAATGAGAGGAAATTGTTTCTGTGGATGTAGGCAGGTGAGTGTGTGAGAGTTTGAATAGAGCTACAACAAAAGCTCTACAAAAAAAGTTTAATTTCCACCAAGCAATACATGCAGACAGAAACAGAGGCTGCGGATCTTGCTGTCCCGAACTAAGCCGCTTCATTAGATAATCTCACACCTGTGACTGTATTGTGTCATTATTCTGTGTTTATTTTAATCTCAATCACCCATTAATTACTGCTTCAATGTGCTTCAGCTCACACCAAACACCATAGATCAACCATTTCAAATTGAGAAGCACAGGATGTTGTGGCTAATTGCTGAGTTATGCGCTTTCTCACCAGTCCTCGTCTTCCGGGATGGTGGCCAGTGGCGGGTTGAGGCAGTAAATGTGAAACGCCATGTTACACTCATCACACAGCAGCTGCATGTGGGCATCCTGCTTCCCGCCACATACGCAGCAGGAGCAGAAGCGACACTCTGCTTCGGGGTCAGCCTTGCAGTGCTTACACTCTGGCCCACTCTTCCCTGGATCCAAGAACAAAATTGAGACATTTATACACAGATGCACACGTGTGAACAGAAACTTGAAGATGATCTTATGGTATGGTCACGCTAAAATATACCTTCAAAAGCAATATGGACAAGTTTTGCCACTATTTTCACTGTGTGTGTATGAGTTTCTGCATACGTTTAAATTGTCCATCTGCAGCTGAGAGTGCACGAGCTCCTGGTTTCTCCACCTGGTAGATTTCATCCAGAAACTGAACTTTACAGTCCCCGATTACATCTCCAGGACCCCTGTGGGGAGGGCGAGAGACAAGAGTGAGAAAGGAAGAGAGAGACAGAGACGACAGTGCAAGAAATAAAAAAACAAAGAGAAAGTGAAAAGATTGTTGAGTGTTATTAAGAATGTTATAGAGAGATAGAAAGAAGTCACACAGCGAAACGTTCCATTTTATGTCTTGGTAAAGAACAAAAACACAAATTGGCTGAGCAGATATTCTAATGAAGAAAATAACACAGCAACCCGACGCATCACCCTCCCACCTAGGAAGGAAGATCCTCACCCCAGGAGGATCTTGACTCGGAGCTCCTTGTTGGTGCGGGTGGTTTGGCTGACGGTCTGAACCTCGGCGTCGAACCAGAAGCCCCTCTCATCTGGTGTCTCCATATTGTAGTTGACCATCACGTGCATGCCCACCTGGAGCTGGTCCCACCGCAGCAGGGTCCTGGCACGTGGCCGCACGTCCACCCATCGCATCTCAACCACGCCGTTCTCTGGGTAGCTGGGAAAGAAAGAAGAGGAGAGACAATGAAGGCGGTTAACGTGTGTGAGGTCTTAATGTCTGCTGTCATCACCCTGATTTTCACACTGCTATCTTATCTACTAAAATAAGGGTTGAGCACTAAAGCACTTGGCATTCCTAATGCTGGCAAGAAATCCGCGTAAGAATCTGCAGCAAAAAGCAGCTATTCATAACAGCGTATTCTGTAAAAACAGATGGATGTGAACTATTTAACAGCTCAATGCATTAAGTCACAGACTGCACCACTGACAAGCAATATATGCCTCCTTTGTGCAGGAACGTACAAGTCCATGCAAGTCTGCAGAAGCCCACACAAGCACAGAGGGGCGAAAGCTGTAAAACAAGTGGATTTTGCATAAAAAGCCACTGCTGTCAATCTACAGACCTACGCCAAATGAAATACGAGTTTAGCGCTGTGATCTGCCTTCTTCGGTCTGCCGCAGAATGCAGTGTAAATGAAATATGGCTAACAGCACAATATGGTGTAATTTTTTGTTTAACAAAGGTTCAAGCACTGATCTACTTAAAGACAAGGCAAGATTTTAGCTAAAACCTCCACTAGAAGTCAAACAAAGTCAAAAATACTATTACCAATAGGGCTGGGCGATAAATAGATTTTATCGGTTAATTCGAATTCATAGTTAAACACGATTATTTTTAGTTAAAATCGGTTTTCTCTTCCACAACACCGGCGCTCCCTTCGGGCTCT